GATTTTTTCGATAATTGGATATACTTGATGTGATCAACTTGATTAGAAATGTTTTTACACAATTTTCTTTACTTTTAGTATGAACTATTGGTTTATTCAATGGATGGCCGTTGCCTATCAAAATACAGTGCATACGAGTTTGCTCTGGGAATCAAGTCTGTATGCTGGTCTCCATCCAGTCAGTTTCTAGCAATTGGCAGCTTTGATGAGAAGGTATTTTTGGAAAAATTAAATTATATTTTATGTCATAACAAAGCTAGGCACACATCAATGTCTTGTTGTGTAACACACTTTCACTTAACACTACTCATGAAACAGACATGTGCAAAATGAAATTTACTTCTGGTCAGCTGTCCTTGACGTCAGCAATCCAGTTACGGTACTCGTTCTTTAAGCTAAAGTTACGGCATGTAAACAACCTTTATCTGTACCATAAAATAAGTTGCAAGCATCGCCCGTTGAAAGCTTTAATACTCTTATAAAGCTATATGCTGTTTTTATGTTACATGGAAAAATGTTGCCAAATTTTGTACTTCAACTATTGCCTATGGGAAAGGTAGGTTTGCAATAATACGCTGTGCATTGCTTAAATGGGCCTTGGTTTTCTGCTTCAACTTTGGTAAAAGTAGAACTGTGAATGTAGGCAACCCACTACATAAGTGACACGCGTGCAATATGATGAAAATCTATCGATTTCCAACCTGTTACGTATTTGTAAAGGTACATCACTGTAAAATTGAAGACTTGTGATGTAACGTAATTGAATCACTTTTTTAAGGACAACACGGTTACTCCACACAGCAGTTATAAAAGCCTTTTAAAAAAACTTTGCTGCTCTGTTGCAGTGTCGCGTGTTGAACCACGTCACGTGGAAAATTGTCGCAGAACACAACCATAGTCACACGGTGGATTCTCCGTCAGTGGTAATAAAGCTTCTTGTTACGATGAACTAGATAAGGACTACATGCACAATTCCTCTAGAGTTGCCTTAATCTTTCCATGACGTCAAATTAAGTGTTCGCTTAAAGAGCATGAACTATAAAGAATGGAGTTTACAATCCTTATATAGGGTTTCCTTGAGGCTTGGAGCAGGAGGGCACCCGGGAATGCATTGCGCAAACTCTTTTTCTTCGAAAAATGGCTCTACTTCCTTTGTTGCTGGAGTGTTAAGCCTTGGGAAGTTGAGTGAATATCCACAATGGATGCCAACTACACTGCTCACTCAAAAAATAAGTGGTTTTGACAGCGTTATGTAATATAGAGCGTATCTTGGCGATCAAAATTTTATCCTGGATTGATCATCTCATGATTTTAGGTTGTAGGATGGTAACTTTGAAAAAAATTGAAGCTCTGATTGGTCATCTTATAAAAAGTTTATATTAATTTGTTTCCTGAATTTCTTAGATTGTTTACAGAGAAGTGGAGCTGAAGCCACCTTTGCTAAAAGGAGAGATCATGCCGCCTGGCGGGTTTACGGTGCAGAGTAAATGTGAGTTTTTAATATTTTTACAGTGCGATTGCTGTTAAAAGGATCACCGAGACGTCACAATGTGTTTAGAGACACGATGTCGCTCCTACCACATTTTGACGCCATCTGTGATCTACAGTACCGCTCTCGTGTACTGCAACAACCCCATGCGTCTCCGGTGGGTGTAGTTACGCAAATGCAATGGTTTACACGTGAATGTGGGTATTTTAATTCATCTTCGTCGTTCGCTTCACGCATATGCGGGTATTCTTTCACACCACTGCGATCGCTAAGAAATTTGTACTTCGCCGGACTTAACGATTCTTGAATGCGTTCTTGCGACGGGAAAAATACGAAGTTGATCATTCAGGTATAATTCGCCCTAATAATCTGCTATTCAGTTAATTAGTTAAAGTGGATTGTATTTTATCGCGTGAGTAATTCTCTTCCCTTATGTGAATGCTCAAGTCAAGCCTCTGTATCTCTAAACAGACGCGCGGAAACATGGAATCTATTTCTTAATTATTTCTTTGCAGATGAGGTTCAGCCAGGCCCAGTCCAGGTTCCGACGCTTAAACCTGACCCAGAAAAGGCAAACCCCAAACTTGGTGTTGGACATGTGGCCTTTAGTCAAGACAACAGATATTTAGCAACTAAGAATGGTTAGTGGCAGTCACTAAGGTTTTACTTCTTTGGTAAATAACGTATAATTTTTACCAGTACCTGTCCGTGCGAATAGAAAAAAACAAGAAACTGCTCATAGCGCGGAAAAACGCAAGTGACCAAAGCAATCACAACAGCCAATCAGAGCCAGGAAAATGTCAGCAGGAGCCAATGTGAACTTGAATTAAAAACAAGCAGCCTGAAGCGCGGGAAAAAACGTTAGTGACCGAGCCGCCAGTTTTCTGAAGAAATCACAACGCAAAATCAAAGCAATGCTGGATTGTTTACGACTTTTCCAATTAAAGATTGCTTTCAAACCGCATTTGCTCTAACTAACATGTCTTTCTTTCTTTCGTTTTTATTGTACATAGACAACATGCCTAATGCTCTTTGGTTATGGGATGTGTCCAAGTTATGTCTTACAGCATTGCTACTGCAGACCAGTTCCGTGAGAGGTCAGTTGATACACCTTAGTTCATAGTTTAACTAGTAATACGCGCGGATATTGTGCGAGCTGCTTCGTATTTTTCTGAGCTCCGTAGGGAAGAGTAAACACACAAGCAGCTTACAAAATAGCCGCGAGTATATATGTTCAAGCAATCGAATAAGAGATTTATTATTCCATTATTATTTCATTTTTTCTTCTTTTGTCTTAGCTTTCCAGTGGGATCCAAAACAACCCCGGCTAGCCGTCTGTACCGGAAATAACAAGCTGTACATTTGGTCGCCTGCAGGCTGCGTGTCGGTAGTCGTACCTACAGAAGGTTTGTTGTTCCTCATTTGGTTCCTAGTTTTGTTATGACCATGATTAAGCGCTTTTCGTGAAACCGAAACAAAAGCTATCACAACTGCCAACTTGAAGAACGGAAAGACTTTCAACGGCGAATGAGAACTTACGGTGAAAACAACCAAATTACTTAAAGCGCGGGAAAACGCGCGCGACTAAGTCGTGAGTGGTTTCAGTGGCATCTGATTGGTTGAGAACGTGGCACGAGTTTTCTGGATCAATCATAGAGCGAAAAAGCAAAACCAATGCAATCCTGAATTACTTTCGGCTCTCAATTGAATATTGCCTCGTGTTGAATGGTGTGTTTGGACGTTGAAAATTGCTACCAATTGACTGGGATAGAACAAGAATAAACCAAAAAGAAATTCGGACATTTAAAGAAAGAAACTGTTTAAAAAGATTGGAAATGGAAAACTTGGAAAAAAATTTCACTGAATTTTAATTTTTGTCAGAAGGACACTTGTACGATCAATTAAGTTTGTGTAGCTCGTAAAATTTAACATACGTAAACTATGGCATGTTTGTGTTCAGCTTACTCGTTATGCGGAAACGAAGTTTACATTATTACTTTTGTTTATCTGGTATTGGTCTTTGAAAGGTTTCTCCAGAAAGGTATGTATACCACAAGAGAATCGTTGCTAAATCAGTGTGCACACCCAATTCCCAGTGCGATTTCATAGTCTTGATTTCATGTGTTTCCTTCTGGCTTCATTTCAGCCACTTTCCAGATCACATCCTTACAGTTTCATCCTGATGGCAACATTCTCCTACTGCTGGGAAAAGATCACATGTGCTTGTGTTTTCTGACAGACCCAAGGACATAATGGTGAATTCAAAAGATATTCTTATTAAATTCGTAAGGCGAAAGCCAGGGTTATAGAATTGGTCGATTGTTTTAACGGCAGATCCCGATTTCTTGCTTTTAGTAAGTTGTTACTCTTTCGTTGTAATGATTTCTTTAGATATCACGTTATCATAACTGGTAACTATTGGAGACATTCTTAACTATGTAACTTATTTCTGTTGAAACTTACGCTGTTAATCCCTTTATGACTCTTATGGTTAAATTAGAGCGCGTGGTTACTCTTACCACTTCCTTTGTCATGTCTGTGGCGTAGTTTAAACCAATTCCTGTGTTACTTTGGTTGTTTTTCATTATTTGAGCGCATTTTACATTATACGTAGATGTACTTGATTCTTGATATTCCTGGGTGTATAAACTATACGTTTTGTACAGGATGTTTAAAACGCAAGATACTAGATATCGTTTTTGTCGAGTTTCTGTTCTTAAGATTTTTCTGTTGGAGGAATGACATGTAAATAGCAGGCGTAATATAATTCCAGTGGCTTTGGGGCGGCGTTTGGAAATAGTGGAGCAGGCCCTCAATATTATTTGCGCCGCAGGACTCGCTTTTCTTCATCCGCAGGAAGATTTGAGACGAGTCGGAAAGGGTGTGGTGGGGGTCTGGCACTAATGATCTACGCTAGACCCTACGCTGGCACCTCGCCGGCGTTCGTTGCTTAGGGCCTCACACTCCAACGCAGGCGCACAAAAGCTCGTCCTCAAGCCGAAATAATGAGGGCTTGCTCGCAGGCTCGCAAAAATGTTGATCGCGGACGAAAGAGCTTAGTACCATTGTTGTGGCTATTTTGGCGTTCCAGTTACATGAGGAAAGGAGACAAAATGACTTACTGGGAAAAATAAATTTTATTTACGTTTACTTGATTAATAGAAAATCAAATATCATTCATGAAAGTAAAAAGACAAATTTCTTTAGGCTTTCGGGATTTAGCCCCATTACAATTGATGATTAATTTTTGAAACAAAAAGAGCATACAACTTTTTCTCATAGTGCACTTTATACTTGCAGCACTTTTCTTAGATACTTCCTGTCAGATAATTAAATTTTACTACACGAAGAGCGGGTTTGGGTCGGGCCACGAAGTGAACGCGACTCGATCCAAGCCTCCTTCGTTTCCGCTCCTATCGCACTGTTTACTATTTCGCTCCGATTTATTAACTGAATGCGTGGAGCATATCCGCGATCTTCGAAACTCCGGAAACTAAACGTTGAAATCTGATATCTCGCGATCTTTTCTACTAATAATAAAACCTAAAGATTATTTCTTTGGTGCGCTTTGTGTTGACTAAACAAATTATGCCATTTTGAAAAGTTGTCTATTGGTTAAAAATATTTAGCTCAGATACTTTAGGTGTACTCTACTGCTAATAACGCTATATTGGTGCGACCGGCGTCAACAGTTTCAACTGATTATTAATTGAGGCGACTGTAGATCTTTTTCAATTCACTCGGCTTGTCTCTTTATTCCCTAAATGATTGTGAGTTTCTTTTTTTCTTTCCGAAGAAGTCTTTCATTAGAAAAAGCTGTAAGGTGTATGGTTTCTCTAGGATCAGTAAAGAGAAGCATGTCAGTTTTATAGTAATCATGATATTTCCGTTGCAAAAACTGACAAACTTGAAAGTTTCACAGACGAACTATTTGCATTTTGTCTGTTTATTCGTATGTTTTGATATATCAATTTATTTTGGTTGTGTCAAGTACCGTTACAGCATACACTTTATTATTTTTTTTTTCACGACGTGGATGACAGATCTTACCTGAAATAGTGAAACCTAAACTAGAGCTCACGCCGAAATCTGTCTAAATATTCCTTTAAGGAAAGGATCAACTCCACCGTCTGAAAAAGAAGGACGAGGTGAATTAAGTCTAATTCCATGTGGTTGTTCAGAAACGTCTTTCTGCATTCTGTTTCAGACGGCGGGTTTCGACTACATGTAAAGCTCTTCCCTCGGGTGGAGTGTTGTAGATAGCCCCCTTGAGGTCATTCATTCTGTCAGTTTAATTTATTTCGTGAATTTTTTTCCTTGTTGGCAATGTTTTGGGAAGTGTTAATTGTCCCCTAGCAAAGCTGCAGACTGAGGGAGCGATTTTTTTGCAAACGACTGTAGCAAGTGAAGACCTAGTATTTTTTTCTTGAAACGAATACCCGAAATTAGTTAAGAACAGTTAGCTGTACTGTTTTCGCGTTGGCTTCGAATTCCCGTTATGTAGAGAATCGAATTCCCGTTATGTAGAAAAATTTTCAATTGAGTGTCCAAAGTGATCTGGGATTGCTTTGTTTTTGCTTTACTTCGCGCTTTGATTGGTCCAGAAAACTCATGCCATTCTCTCAACCAATCAGATGCAATACTCAAACCAATCACGACTTGGTCGCCCGCGTTTTCCCGCGCTTTAGGCAGATTGGTCGGTTTTACTCTGAATTCTCATTAGGTCTTAATGGTATGTTCCTTCTTCTGATTGGCCGTTGTTACAACTTTAATTTTGGTTTTACGACACTCAATTGAAAAGCGCCATGAGAATTTCTGTTTTGAGAGTGATTTCTTACTTGGAATATTGACAGTACTCCGCTTCTTATCCTCCTCAACGAGGTCCACTTTGCTTGCCTCGTCCATTGTTTCCGGTGCTTTTCCTACAGCTGGTGAATGACTATATTCTGTAAAATAATTAACACGCAAATGAGTTAATACTTTAGATTAATAAATAAAGAAGAAAGGACATAATAAAAAATACAGCAATTTATACATTTATGTTTGAAACTTGAATTTTTTTTCACCGATCTCCTTCCACGAGACAAGTTAAATACGGTGCAATAAGCCATAATGTAATCGTTCAGTGGACGTGTGAGATAAAGTCTGCAACGAGCAGTAAGTGTCATGGCGTAGCCAGAAAAAATCTTTAATCACTAAGGTCTAAAAATACTTTAGCCACGTAATCGTATCTTCGTAGCCTAGCTCGTCAGCAGTCTCCTGACTGGGAGCAAACTGCGTGTTAATTAGCCTTTTTGGGTTCTGCACCCACTCGGCCGACTTCACAGTTATTCTAAGTCTGTGTCTAAGTGAACTTTCCTTTCTCGTATCGCTATCTATTCCTAAATCTTCACCTCACCTGACAATTGGAGTGAATGTTTATACACAGGCATATCATCAAGTTTCCCCACATTCTGTACCATGTTCTTTAGTTTCTCCTCGATGCCTTGGATGCCGTTCTTGAACGTCAAAATGAACGGTGCAATCACCTTACGTATGGTGTTCGGGTTGTGTTTCACGAGGCCTTCCCTTGAGAAACATAGAATTTTAAGACTGAGTTATTCTGGAGATTTCGTTATTGAAGCAAATCATGAAAATTGTACAAAGTGCTTCTTGTTGCCGCAGAATTTCTTTACGCACTATATAGTTCTTGTTAAGTCATCTGCATCAACAAAAACAATTTGGTCTTCGTAGACTTTTGCCCGAAAAGGTCTCCTTATTCATTAACCAGGCCGTGTAGCTTAGTGGTTTTGATGTTAGGCTTGTATTCATATGGTCCTGGGTTCAAGCTCTCCACCCTGCAACTCATTGGGATTTTTCCCGGTTTCCCCGAGTTCAACGCCTTGACTGTGCTTTATATTTTAAAACACTTTTTTTTTTCAGTCACCCATTTATTGATTTATTCGTATTGGCCCTGAAAAGCCCATGAAGTGGTCAATTAAGTTCACATATATACCCACAAACCTACAAACAGCACATCAGGTTTTGGGGGAATTTGCTAAGGTAAAGGTTGGGATTTTCTTCTAAATTGACAAGGGAACACCCATGAAGGAATTCTTGTTAAAGTAATTGCGAATCTTTAACTATTAAACTAATAGGGCAACGTTGGAAAATGCGAATCGTACATAATATTCGGTGATTCCTGGAAAAGTCCTTACCTTAATCCTACAACCTCGGCCTTGACAAATTTTGGATCATTCTTGAACACACGCTTGAACTGTCAAACAAAATTTGTTGTTTAGTAAATTTTTTCAGTTAAACGTACAAAAGCACATACTCTATTGGTTTACAAAGGATGAAAAGTTTACACAATTATCAGAATGAAATAAAAATAGACAGTTTTTCGTGTACTTTTTAACAGATACTCGTTGCACCAGTTTGTTAGGCATTTTTGCGATTTAAATGTTTTGCTATGATTTCTTAACCACATACCGCTTGCTCGATATTTCCTGTTAATATTTTTGACTCTGCGCTTTTGGCATCTTCAAACTGGTCCAGCCAGCTTTGTTTAAGCTTGATTGTTCCCGTGTAGACGACAGCTAAAATATAAAGTATTTGAATAAAAAAAATTATGATTTTCAAGTTAAGACATGGCCTAGGGTAAAACACAACTCTTCTTGGCAAAAGTTCACTATAATTATCTAAACTAGAGGAATATATGATGGTATGAAAATTTCAGCAACTTACTTCCTTCCTTGAGCTTTCCCGGAGCCACTGCCACGATAGTTTTTGGAGTTGGTTTTGACAAAATATCCTGTTGCTGATGCAAGTAAATCAGTCGACTCCCGTGGGTACCCTGTGGCGTTTCATTGTGTTGAGGATGAACCACACTCGGTACCGGTTGAGTAGCTATTGCAGGCGAACCGGAGGATGGTTTGGGTTCAGATTGGGTCAAAGCTTGAGGAGGAGCTTCAGAAATTGCGATCGCAGGTAAGATATCTGCAGCATGCGCAGAATCGGGCTCAACTGTAGAAGCAGATACTGTAGCATGCGTAGAGTCTGCTTTCTCATGTGGGTGCTCTTCGCCTGACGCATGCGTGTTTAAAGAATTGTCTTCCTGGGCTGTCTCTATGGGAAGTGATTGCACAGGGGATTCTTGGAGAGATGGTTCTCTGTGTATCTCCTGCACATAATTACCAGACGACTCGAGTGGGGTAGTTACCACTTCAGCTGCCGTTACTTCAGTCGCAGGGGATTCTGAAGCTGTCAAGTGAAAGGTTTCTGTGATTATTGGTTGCTGATGTTCCTCTGCCTCTGCTTCACCACCAGAAGCGATGTCGCTGCGCGGAATGTCAAAAAGATCTAAACAAAGAAGAATTATCATCAGAACCGTTTTCAGTAAAGCATGGAAAGAAATCCGGAATTGCATTGGATTTCCTTTTCTTCGCTCTGAGATTGGTCCGGAAAAATCACGCAAAGCAAATCTCTCAACCAATCGGATGCAAAACTTAAACCAATCATTCGCTTTGACGAAAGGCTAACGCTCGAAACGTCTGCTTTGAAACTCTTCACGGAGGCCAATTTACGTTATCAACTAATTCGACAAAACCAAATTACGCCGTTAACCTTTTCACCCTTAAGAGTGACTAGCATCTAATTTCTCCTTGCAATATCTCCCCTGAATCACACATAGAGGTTACAAGAATAAAGGAAATGATCACCAACTAAAGAAGCTTTTGATCGTTGAACAAATTCTCCTTGTTTGCATCTTGAGAAATGTATAATGAACAGTATGGAGAATATGCAAACTCATGTTAGGGTGTAAAGGGTTAAAACCAATCACCACTTAGTCGCCCGTGTTTTCCCGCACTTTAGAAGGTTTTTTGTTTTTACATTGGGCTTTAATTGATTGTTCAGGATATTTTCTTCTCTTCTCTGAGATTGACTGTTGTAATTACTTTGGTTTTGGTTTTGCGACACTCATTCGAAAAGCGCTGTACATCCTAACCGAGCGATTGCGTATGTGAAATACTGTGACACTGAAAAGTATGCACCTTCTTCTGTCATAGGCCGAACACTTTCAATGTGAAAGAAGTTTCCACGCTTTGTGGGTTCCATTGCTCCGGCTGTGGAAGGAAAAAAGAATTACAACGTCATAAAATCTTAATTACTGATTTTTCGCAATATAAATGAAAAATTAAACAATGCTATAAATCTGGTCATAGACATAAGTACGCTTTGCTGGTCAAAGCTAGGCCTTTACCTCTTTGGATAGGATAGGAATAATTTTGCTTATTGATTTGAGAGAATTTTTCCCTCCTTTGTCGGTTGCCTCTAAGTCATCGCACGAAATAAATGTCTACACGAATTGTATGATAAATGATTCGAGACTGTTTCCTTCACTGGCAGTCCTTGAGGACAAACTTTTACAAGTGTCGTTTAAAGATCAGAGAGCTCCAACTTACCAGTCGTGAATATTGCACTTCTCCAGAATCCTCCACATTTCTGAGCATGATCTCCAGTACAGTGAGTATTACATTCTTCGTCTGAAACCTTTGTGTACTTCCCGTACGAATCGCCACACCTGCACAAATACCCATACTGCACTCCAGCATAAGCGTGACCTGCTGTCCGGCATGCACTACGACATGAGTCTGGAGTCAGTTTGGGAACTGAGACTATGGAGGGAAGATCTCGGTCGGGAGCCTTGTCCTCGTAACAGCCGACATATCCTAGCAATTGGAAATGGTTACATTTTCTGTTAGCTGTTAAAAATTTTGAAACTGAAATCCTTGAGTCTACAGATTCATGCTGATTAAACGAATTCTATGGAACGAATGAGGAAAATAAAAAACTGAAATCGCCTCATGCGACGGGCAGAAAATAACGTTTTGTTCTTAAAAGTTAACAGCCCAGCTTACTGTAAACAAACATCAGATTGCATGTTGCTTAAATAGTGAAACTGTGCTATCAATAACTCACTTCAATTTCCATCTCCACTAAAATTAGAAAACTGCAAAACCATTTCTATATCTTTGAGATCGAGAAGCTCTCTAATTTATAGATGTTGCTGTTATACTGAAAGAAGATTGGCTGACAAAATATACTATCTCGACCAGATTACCATACTGTGACCGACTGATATGATTTACTTTGAACTTAATGTACTTTTTGAGGTAAAACTTGAAGGAAGACTGTTGATCCTACCGTCTTCTCTAATCTCTCTTTCATGAATCGTTAAAGTTGGTTCGTCGTCGTCATCGTCTTCGCCTCCGAAGCTGGAATCCATCTTACTCTCGTCTTCGATTTGTGAGTAAACGGCAGGTCTTTCTATGATAGGTTCTCGAGCTTCTCTAATCTGCCTTGTGTACACAACCCTTGGCTCTGAGAAGTCTCTAAAGTTATGATTTTCCAGTTCTCGTTTTACAGGTTTTTCTTGGGTTTCGGGACTTGAAAGGGACTGGGTCTCGCTAGGAAGGGATGTCATCGAAGTTTCTGTGACGTCATCGGAAACTGCGTCTTGATCGCGGTAAAACCGCGCCACGAGGCTATCGCCAATAAGGGCGTCATTTTCACCGAGACTGTGGTCTGAAACCAGAAACGCATTTTCTTGAGATGACCTCTTTGTGCGGTAATACGCGTCTGGAAGTAAGGCTTCTGTTAGCGACCGCGTAACTTTTTCATCTGGTTGTTCTGAAATCTTATCTTCGATTTCTTGCCAATCATCAGCGGATCCTGAAGATGAGGCTGGATTGTCTTCCTGTTCAGAGTCGCCTCTTTTATCCTGATTCTCATTAGCAGCAATTAAATCATCTGCAGGCGCGTCGCTCTCTATTTCTCGTCTAAAAAGTCTCTCGCCAGTCTGCTGCTCGGTTTCCTTTTTGTCATCATTTTGTACTCTCTGCTCCGCACCACTGCCAACTTCATTTGCTTTTTGGTTTAACTCTCTCTGGGCTGTTTCACTCAGCAGCCTTAAAGCTTTCTCCGGGTTTTCACCGCTACCAGAGTTTGCCTCCTCCTGAAAAAACTGTGGCAGTTTATTATCAACTGTACTTTCAGGCGCAATCCACAGACCTGAACCAGAGGATCTGACTTCTTCCGCCGAATTGTCATCTTCATCAGGACTTAGAGAACTGATCGCTCGTAACGTAGCTATAAGATTATCCAGCGAGTTTGAACCTGCGCTTCGTTTATCGTTCTTTTTTTCTAACAGTGGTCCCATCCACAACCCTGCCCCGGAAGAACCCGATCCTGGCAGAGAACCGGAGCCGGGAGTATCGCCGCGGAGTATGGAACTTCCGTCCTGGCTTCTTTTTCTAATTCGGAGACGAAATCTCTCGGGTCGTTTTGCCGTGATGTCCCTATCCTCACGGGATGAACGAGACGATCTAGCTTCCATTTTTGTTTTATAACTGTCCTCGGTCTCTTGTGTCGGTGTGTTCGGGGCAAAGAATCGTCTTTTACGTCTAATTTCACTTTCTAAGTCGTCTTGTGATCTTCGCACTCTATGGAAAGTCTCTTCGTTGTTGTCAATCTCTCCCTCTCCTTTTCTTTTGACTCGTAAAAGTTCCCGATCAACCGGAAGACCTTGAATTGATTATAACACGGAGAGAAAGTGGTTAGGTTTTTATCTAGAGGCGCAGAAAACTATTTATCTAAAAATAAACTGATTCATTTGAGGCCTGATAAGATTGGCGTTCGAGATTCTTTTCCCCAATGAAAACATAGACTCTTCAATTTGCTTCTATACATTTTGTTCCTCACATCAAACTTTGCTGCTTTTTCGCGGATCATTGATGTTATTCTCAGTCTCCAGTTGCATACGTTAAGCAAGAAATTAAAAACGGTATCGCCTGGACACAAATGTTTAGTAAGCTAAAGGAAACGCGATAGTAAACGTCTTGACGGTAGCGGAGTAGTGAAAAAACGAGGGAGGTTTGGGTATTAACTAAACGTCTCGTAAATGTAACTGGAAGGTCTGGGTAAGTGACTAAACGCGACGTTTACCATTTCGCACGGATTTTTTCAGCGTTTTACTCGCTCTTTACGAAACTTACCTCGTATGAAATTGGCCGTAATTAGCAATATCAAGGCTATGGTAATCTTCATGATCGAAGTCCTTCGTATTTGCCAACTCGGGTTTCCTGAGGCAGATATATCACAAATTGTTGAGTTAGACGTGTGAAGTATTTTTTTAAGATTCTTAAGATTCTAAGATTTATTTATTGGTTTTTTTTCGCTGTTGTGGAAGATTATTTTATTACTGTTTTCTTTTCAAAATTTCCAAATAGACAACCGTGTATAAGATTGACCAACGTAGTTGCCGAAGCTTATCTAAGTTTATGTTAGCGTGAAGCAGCTATGGGTAAAAAAGCTCCTTCTTAATTGTTCAGTGTAATATGCTAGTTGAGTAACCCCAAACATTTCGTCTGGCTTCCATGGAACTTCACTGGCATTTATATATTTACTTCTGAGGGGAGACGGAGACACTTTGAGAGTAAATTGTCTCTCCCGAGAACGTAACGCAAGGACAAGGCCTGGACTCGAACTTCAGAGTCGCTGCGCTTCCCAAAGGTAAACAAAGGCGTGTGTTAATAGCTATATATTGGCAATTTTTTTTAAACTCTGTTTTTATACTGCGTAACTGATGTCTATACCGTTGAAAAAGATTTCACTAAAGCATTTGTAGGATGTTCGACGTTTAAAAATTATTCGATTCCAGATCAATGCAAACGTTTTAAGAGTGGAGCACATGGAAAACGTATGGAAAACCTGTTAGTTTTATACCTTGTGTGTCTGGTTCAAAGGAGTTAAACCACAAATCGATTTTACGCGATATGCATGTAAAGAAACAATGTTGTTACAGATCACGGGAAACTTGTTTTCCTTGGAGATCTTTAGGGCTTGGATTTTGAGTCTTCTTAACTAAGACAGCCATCGATTAAATTCGGGGAATAACTGCGATTTCTTGAAAGGGACCAGTCTCTCTTCTGTTTAAGGGTGTGATGAAAAAATTCTCATCGGAAAATTGTTTTTCTCTTTCTTTAGATTTTAGCTCTTTTAAGCGCTATAAAGCAATGGTTTTGGTATACGTCGTTGCTGACGACTGCAGTAACTTACTCCAAACGAGACTAATTCACCAAAACGTGATTTACGTTCCAAAATAAAACAGTACAACGTTTATTTTGTATCGTATCAAATATTGATGTTTAATCCTTCATTAGAAGGCTACTCTGGACATACTCGCGAAGTTGGTAAGAAATCTTGCTGGAAATCACTTGTCGCAAATAAAAAAGATTGTAGGAAAAAAAAAATCAGAAATCACCAGATGTTTATTTAGTGTCAGTCTGCAGTACCAGCAAAATGGAGATCATTGGATGAAAAGACCTGTAGCTGATTTCTAAATTTAAAAATACTGACAAATTTGAACTTTCGTCGATTCCGGCTTGAATTATTTTTTGCTAATAAGTATTTCATAGCCAAATCAGTACTATTTTCGCTTTCAAACTTCCAGCCTCAAACGATTTCAAAATCAAGACACCAAAAAGGATTTCTTTTCTAAGTGCCCTACCATGTTTTGTATTGACCACCAAACTTTGTATTTGATCAATCTTCCCATTTCTTCGATAGGTCGAAGCTTAAGCATCACACTCTTCTCCCCTTGCCAAAATTATCAGCAAAATAGGAATTCAACCTGTCTAAAATAATTTGCCTTTTCCTTTCCCAAGGTTGTAAAGTTGTAAAATCGAATCCATAACTTACCTTTCAAAGTTAGTGTTCTTTCCACCAAATACAATTCATTTCCAATCTAATTCTATGATCCCTTCGTTGAATCGTCGCTCCTCTGTTCTAAACTAGAATATAATTTCGTTTTCTTTTCAATATTCCCTTCTTTTTGAGCTTATCCTGCTTTTTTTCCCGTAATGATCGCCAGATGTTGGCGAATAGTGAGCCTTTCAACTGGCGGTTCACAACCAATGAATAACTTATGAGTGGAGGGTGACTTTTTGGTACCTGTTCTCAAAACCAAGAATGCGTTTACTCCCATTTCTCTGTGGTTGTTATTTCAAGGAATATCCGTCATATTTCCACCTTCTTTCACGGTATTTTGGCCAGATGTTTGCGACATAACCCAAATAAGCAAAGGAAATTTGACCCAGTTTTTTTTCTCCAGAGCGAGGGGAGGGGAGGAGGAAGAGGAGTCGAATTTCTGATTTCTGACAAGTTGCTGATCTGTTAAAAATGAGTCTTTTGCTTAAAATTTTGCGGTTTCCAACTTTATGGGTTATTTCTTTCTTCGCCAGAGCTGAAGATAGAGAGCTTCCAGTTCTGATGCCATTTTTTTTTTTAAAAAAAAGATCATTTTTTTTTTTGTATTAATTGTAACCATTGATATCACAAATGGAGGTATTGTTAATGAGTGAAGTTTTCTTCCATGTGGTGTAGCCTCCTCTTCACCCATACTCACCTTATTCCCCACACGCATGGGCAACGAGTCTCTTCTAGATCAGATGCAGCAATATGAAATAAAGAAAACATGATTGCAATACTCTATAGATGCTTTATCAAAACTTTTCCTAATAGCAAAGAAAAAACTTCGCTGTTTGCCGCACCCCTCACTATGGACAACCAAATAACCATATAGGCATGGGTTCGTCTTTGGGCGATGGAACTTTGTGGCAAGATTTGTGAAGAGGAAGGCTTCGAACTTACTAGAAACACCTCTACGTTTAAAGGCTGGTCTAAGAGTAGACCCTCTGCATTAGTGCTGCCAGACGGCGAGCATTTCTACGCCTGTGGCCAGATCTGAGAAGAGTCATGGAGAGGTCTGCCGGGAGTCTGGCACTAATTATCAGTACAGACGACCTCTTGCAGATCTCTCAACGGGTCGCGTTACTCAAGGCCTTAACCCTTTGCCTCCCATGAGTGACCAAGATAGAATTTCTCCTTACAATATCAATACAATATCAAGCAAACAAGTGATGAGAATAAAGAAAAATATCAATTAGGGGATTATAACTTGATCCAATCTCAAATTCTCCAAACTAACATGACAAGAACTGTATGACAGATAGTAAGGAGAATTACTAGGAAATGTTGGGAGTTAAAGGGTTTAACATGTTCGCGGGCGAAGAAACACTCTTACTGAAGAGCCAATAATAAGGGCCTGCTCAAATCGAACGTCATGGTGGCACCTGGCGTGTCATGGAACAAAACAGTTATTAAATCAACATGTCTGCGATGTCTTCGGCTTTCTTAGATGTGATGTGATCATGTTTTGTGAACAAATGGTAAATTGATGAGTTCCCAGTAGTTGGATCCTTTTGTTTACGCCAAGATTTCTGGGATCGCCACAGGGCGAACACTGTAAGTTGCCAGAAGGAGATATAAAGCGAAAAGTTGTTTCGTCGTCCAGTTTCTTTTCCTTCTTTTGTAGTAACTACATTTTTATCGGCTTTGCGGGAGATGTTTACGCGTTGCGCTGAGTCTTAGCGCTTTAATATTAACGTGAAGACCTTTATCACTAATGCTTGTTATAAATTGAAGACAGGAAAAGTCCTGTCATCTTTGTCTGCCTTTCGTCATTGTATATACCCCGCAGACAATTACCGTTAAAGTAACATGAAATCAAGAGATTTCCTATCATAGAAGCGTTTTTTTTCCAGTTTGCCAAAAACCACTCTATTTCCGACACTAGAAAACCTTAGCAAAAATAAAATAAGCTTTTACTTGTATTAAAGTTTTGCTATGGGCGGGCAGCTTTCCTCAGATGAATTTGAGAAGACAGACTTGTTGCTGCATGTTGAGCAACTTAATGTCGATTGTTTTTCACCTTCTGGACCAAAACAAAAAAAACAAAAAACAAAAAAAAAACCAACAAGGTCAAACTGCACTTTGATGTTTTGCAGAGGAGGGCTCAGAAATGTTCAAAGTTTAAAACGCACGTGTGCAGCCACTAGTCGTTGAGAATGTTTCAAGTAATGCAATATATTTATCTCCGTTGTCGTTTAGCGCCCGATCCAAACTTGAGATAAAAAAAAGCGAAGGAATTACCTGTTCTAGAGGATAGTTAACAATTTTCTTTTGGCATTCCCGTTCTCAGAATAGGCTGAATCTGGTACTATGACGTTCTTGTTTTGCAAAAGACGGCGAGAATGGGTAAAAGATTTTCATACGCGCAGAGCTAATGTTCTAAATTAAATCTTTTGTCTCGAGATGTCCCCGTTGGCGTCGCCGACGACGAGGGTTGCTACAGTCTCAGTAGAGTTCGGTTTGCTGCTTCAGCTCACCTTGGATGGGATCCATTTTTTCCAAGAGCACAAAAATGATACAATCCGCCTTTTTAACTCTAAAGCTGGCAAGTTTTACCAACATCTATTTCATCAGAAATAGAAAACACTAAAATAAAAACGTCAAATAAAATTGTCTCCCGTTTCGACTCTGGTCCTGGGTGAGAGGTCACTTGATTGTGTCCGACAGACATTCTGACAGCTCGCATGCGTGTTGGCAGATATTGTTACGTAATCATTCATATGACACAAGGTTTATAAAGCTGAATTTATTTTGAAGTGAGACAGAAGTCGATTCGTTTCGAAGATCAAGGAAACCATGAATACTGTAACTGTTTTGGTTGTGGCTATTTCTCTTTTCATGATCGCCAATGCGGCTCATAAAGGACATGGAAAATGTCTACCTGGTGATAAACACAAGGAATCCCCATCTGGAGAAGAAAGCATGGCGGCTTGTAAATCTTACAAAGATGCATCATGCTGCACCAGTGATTTCACCAAACAGCTTGCTACCTCTCCGGTCGAGAAAGTCGGAAAGTTTTCGTGGACACCGTGCAACAACACCTTGAGCCCCAAATGTGAAGCTTTCATGGTGATGGTGGAATGTTTTTACCGTTGCTCACACAACACGTACTTCTGGAAGAATCCCGATTATCCGTCTGCAATCATGAAGGCCCCTGTATGCGCAAGTTTCTGCAATGGCTGGTTCGACGCTTGCAAAGACGACCTAACCTGTGCTAAAAATTGGATCACAGACTTTAACAAGACTGAGACGGGAGTGAACACTTGTAAAAAGCCGTGCAAGAACTTTAGCGATTACTTCACCAACGGTAAGGACCTTTGCGAGAGCATGTGGGGAACCAGCTTTGTCTACAAGGAAACCGATTGCCTGCAGATGAATTTCACGGGCCCAAACCCGAATGACGACCTAGTGAAAAGGCTCTCTGAAAAGAGTGGTGCGCTGTTTTTCACTGTTAGTTTGGCAGCTCTTTGGATTCCTTTGCTGTTCACTATTGCCTTCATTTACTAACTGAGAAACGACTTTGAAAATTCCTTGATTGCGTAACATTTCGCCTTAAATCGATGAGTCCAAATTTATAGAATTTGTGTAGATAGGCTCGGGATTATGCTTGCCTCGTTCACTAGTTAAAAAATCATTTTGACATTGCCTCAGTTGTATAGCATTTCGCTTGGAGTCTTAGGTTCCGAGCTTTCTCAGATTTTAGACAAAAGGGAGGTTAAATCAGAGAAATTAGGTATGGCTGACCTTTGCACGGCATTTTTCAGTTTGTGATTTTAAAAAGTAGTTTGTTCGCGTTTGTGTGCGTTTTGACTGAACAAAACTGTATGTCAGTTTAGATCTTAGGTTTAAAGGTTCTTCTGAGATTGACGGATTAGGATTGTTTCTTAGGGCAACACTTTGGACTGAAAAATATTTGGAGAGAAGAGAAGACAGGTCATTAATAGGCGGATAAGTACATTAGCAATGCGAAAGGATAGAGGGTTTTTTTTATGGTCACATGATGTAAGCTTCAACACCGTTTCATGCCCTTTCCCATTCTGTGCGCTTTTTCATTAAAATTGTTTGCACGACCGTATTCTCTGTTGTGATTTGTAGAAGTCGACATAGTTTTTAGGTAGCTTGAAGAGTTTGATGAAAGTCAGATTTTTGTCTAACCCGGGGCAAATCTAAAATTTTTCGAGGTTACGCAACCGTAATCTTCATTTCTGTTAGCCCAAATGTTTCATGTAGAATTCTATTTGTTGAATAAAATTTGAAACAAAATATGTTTTGTTATTTAGTTAGGTGGATAACCTTTTCAAGGGCGGAACGAAACATTTCTCATAAAAGCATACATAAGACAATCATATGTCTCTAATATATCAAGCAGAGCGGAAGTAGCTGCAGAGCGGAAGCAGCTTCAGCCCGAAGCCGGAAAAGAAGTTTTGTTGGTCGGTGACCAGGTCATTGTAGGCCTGTTTCTCGATGATGGGACAGGCAGCCACCCAAGAGGCTTGAGACGACGTTACGTAATCTCTTTTGATACATTTCAGCTCTTTTGTCGTGTTTATTCGCTGTTGTGTTACAAATGTTAAACTCGGCTCAATCCAAGTGATCGTAGGAAATGTTTCATAGATTCATTTAGTTAACTTTGATCTTCCACTTAAGTTACATTCAGATGAATAAAGTTCTCTCTCTCCTCTTGTTTCGTGTGTTTCATTGAGCGATTTTTCGATTTTTTGGGACAATTTGTTCTGCTCTCTTCATTAACACCTCTCCTGTATTTGGTAGAGCGTTCGTATAGAGATAGAGCCAACAAACGTAACACGGTCTGAAACGAGCAGCATTCAGTCTGCCTCTCTCGGTGACAATATACGTCGAACACAAAGTCGCCAATCAAATATCTTAAAATCAGTCTGTTAATGCGTTTGATAAACACGCCGTAACAGAGGGTAGGCATGCCAGGGCCTTGTTCACTCGTTTAAGTTTCGTTTCGTGAACGTAGCTATATATGTTTATGCGTCGCGTCTTTCCACCATGCGTAAACGCCATTATCGAAAACGTAAAGGAACACTTTCGTAGACGCCCCCAGGAGTGGATATAAGTAAACACACAGCAATAACGTCTATGATCTTTTAGCTCGTAGACAG